GTCTAAGGCTTACATAATATACCCTATAATATAAAAGTGAGAGAACAGTTGTTCTTTCTTATTAGAAGACTCGGAGTTGAAGGACGGATCTTTATTTAAGTCTTTCGGATGCTCAATCCGGCAAGGCAAAAAAATTAAAAAAAAATAAAAATAAAAGGACATGCATGGTTCTGAGGTTCGATACGTGTCGCAAGTGAGTAGAGTTTCTTGTTGGTTCTCTCCTGTGCCTCTTCGAGGGTTTTCCTTTCCCTCCTCAAAAAATTTCCTTTTCTAAATTTTCTAAAACTCGATCTCAGGATTTCCCCAAGTTGGAGCCTGACGTGACTGTCTTAGGCTGCGATACGAAAGCCAAAGCTTACTAATAGATTTTATACATTTTTCTCTTAGTTTTGGTAAGCTTCATATACAGCTGTACACACAGCGAAACGAAACATGGCTACCAATTTGAATAAAATTCTCCTGAACTGACTAACCTTTCATCAATGCCAAACGTTTTATATTTCCACGAGGCTACTCAGTCTAGAAGAATAGTTATTCAAATTCGTCGCCATATTGCGATTCTGGTATAGCTGGCACAAAATTAGGTTTTATCTAAATTAATTAGATTGTATTAAAAGGAAACTGGGGTTCCTGATCAAAGAGTTTTACCGTTTCCTAGCACTTGTTCGGCGGGTTGATAGCCAAGCCGATCTCATTCCTTTATCAGTTGACTATCCTACAGCTGTAAGTACTGGTTAGTGAGGAAGGTTTACAAAGATTTTACCGACAAGTTTCATTGAACATCACAATAGGAAGTTAGTTGATCTGCCTATAGACCAACAACAATCGCCAACACAAGCGACACAAATAATTTTCAGTGATGTGCGATATACTTTAGTTTTATACACCGAATCGAAATATGGCGAGCAATTTGAATAACTATTGATTTGGATYGACTACTGTGACAGACTAGCCTCTCATACATTTGTAAACGATTTTATGTTTCCACGTGAACACGAGGCTATTCAGTGCGGAACAATAGTAATTCAAATTGGTGGCCATATTTTGATTAGGTGTATACTGGGGCATTTGTTCGTTAAATTAATCACTGGTTTCCAGCAATAGCGCCGTATCTTATAAACCAATATGCTAGGGTCATAGGTGTAATAGAGATAATTTCAGAGTGGATTGAGGTGTATTTGCATTGAAGTTAATGCATCTTTTTCTTAATAGTAACTAAGCCGCACAGTAATTGCTGCAAGGTAGTATTTCATGTGAAAAGAAAAGACCTCTTTTAGAAGAAGGAGAGGAAAAGGAGGAGAGGAGGAGAGGAGGAGAGGAGGAGAGGGGAAGGAGAAGAGGAGAAGGAGAAGAGGATAAGAACAAGAGAAAACGAAAGGAAAAAACATTGAAGAAGTTCAACTAGGAATTAGAAGGAGAGGAGAAGGAGGAGAGGAGAAGGAGGAGAGGAGAAGGAGAAGAGGATAAGAACAATAGAAACGAATAAATTCATGGCGACCGAAATGATTACGAACTACGACCCACGAACTGTTACGACTACGAACATTGAAACATTTCCTTGAAATTCCTTTTTTCTCTAAGTAAGCAAGTTGAAGACTTATAGGAAATGCCTGGTACAGCATTTGATGCAAACTCTAGATCTTATCTCACATACACCTAATTGAAAAAATGTTGTCGGGTTAAAACAAAGTTATATCATCAAAGCTAAGACCGAAGGGGAGCATGGGAAGACAAACAATTATGCTAATTTCATGCGTATTGCAGTTTTCCCTTCCTGTGCACATTTTATGCATCATGGCTTTGGTATGTTGTTAATCTAGGTCGACCGACTTTGCTCTACTGTGCATTTTTACATGTCTATATGCAAATATAATACACATTTCGGATTTTCAGCATTTCGATTTCAGCTTCCCCAAACTGCTTTTTTTTTAGATTTTTGTCGGAGACTGAAATTATGTGTCATTTGTACACCTATTTTCAAAGTTGTAAATGGCTTCGCTGGATGGCAGGAACAGAGAATGTCTCAATATTTATACCTAACTGAAAAACAAATCTTATAGTGGAAGCTTCGTTTTCATGCAGACCAACAATGCAATCTAAAAAAAAACACTTCTTGCTTAAAACAAGTCAGCTTGGGAGCGTATCTTATTTCTCTGCTACATTGGTTCCATGCGTTTGAGCAAAAGATAATTAATACTAGACCATTGCTCCCTCTTTATGCTCGCGGAAGACTTCAGTAGGGATATCGATCGTTCCTAAAACTTGTTTTGTATTGATGAATGTCGTTATTAATTAATGTATTACGAAAAAGGGCGCTCAAAACGGCTGTTTACTGATTTGCGGCGGCTAATTCAAAGCAATAAAACAGAAGTTATGCCCACAGTAGCGTCAGTAARGTCTTGATGTTCTCGGACACACCCTATCGGTTACATCTTTATCTGTTATCAAAATCTTTTCATCAAGATTATTCGGATGATAATTTGATAGACGTCTTAAACATCTTATTTTCTTTAGTCATGAAGTTCCAGATCTTTTTACCATTTTCCATTTGTGGATCTTCCCACTCAGTAACGAGTTTAGAAAGTGGCTAAATTTAAGTTTATATTTAGCGTGGAACTAATTTTACCGGAGAATTGTTAATGATTTTGGATAATGCTGGATGATGTTTTATGACGTTTAATGATGTTGCAACTCGGACTTTTCGTGATGTTGCAATTGGAAAATTTTTGATAAAGTTGAATCTTAACAATTCTAAACATTTAACCTGTTAAGGTTGCCCATCAACACAGATATAATGATGTTTAATGATGATGTTGGATAATATTGTTTCATGATAGTTGGATGATGTTTTATGGTGTCTTCTGATGTTTCATGGCATTGGATGATGTGTGGCTGAAGTTAAATGATGTATTATGGTGTCTTATGATGTT